TAAAGTTTTTTTGTTTTTGGTCAACCTGCAATAATGAATTATGCCTTTACATTCATTATGTCTTAATCAGGCATGTAAAAAAACAGATGTATGTATTATTAGCTATAATCATTGCATTTCTGTTTTAAATGCAGAGGCCATATATTGCATTTCTTTTTTAAATGCAGAGGCCATATTACCAAAAAAAACTATAAAGCAATCACTAATTTATGGCATGATCCAGAAATTCAAGATAAGCTTGTTTGTAAGGACTTATTAACTAAGTAATTGCATCAAAAGATCATGGTTGACAGTATATCTGGATTTACTGCTTGTACAAGTTGTGTGAGACAAACACCCTTAATTAATGAAAGCATATGGAGAATATGGAAGACTTTGTTTAATCAGTCTTATGGATCACTGTTAAAGCACATTTTGTATTCAATCTTTTTATTCTATAATGAGAAATTTTGACAGTCATGCTCTTTATCATAGCTCCTAAGAAATAAAGAAAGAAAAAATACTTAAAAGTTTCTTATGAATTCAAGGACCAAACAGTTAAAAGCATAACTACAGATCACTGAAGCCAGAAGAAGATTCATAGGAAGAGACATCAGCGCAATCCTTATTAATTTCACGTACAGTGGCAAAGGATATGAAGAAAGAATACTAAGTGAAGTAGCATGATAAAAAAGATCAGAAACTAAGGAAGAGAATGCTCAAAAAGGAGGGACTGTTCAACAGTATCAAAAGCTGTTAAAAGATCAAAGAAGAAGAAGACTAAAAAATGTCCATTAGACTTTGTGCTACAAATGCCCTGAGTAACACTGAGAGCTGTTTGTCTCTCCTTCTGACCCTCTGTGGGGTTGGAAGACAGGTTACAGTGGGTTGAGAAGAGTAGTTCAGCACAGAAAGTAAAACTGCAAAAGCAAGAATCAAGGAAAAAAAAAGTTGAAAATGCACTCACGAAATATCATTAATAATACTTTAACCTTCTGAGAAGAAAACTGAAAATAATTATTAACATTGTTAGCAGCACTAATAAAGCATGTGAGACAATTCCAAGAAAAGGGGTTATAGTTCTCAGCAATGTTTCGAATGTTTTGGTATAAAACCTATCTAACTACTATTGGGAATCTTTTTATTTGAGGGCTAAATTACATTTCTGTATAAAGTCTCAGAACTTCAGAACCAAAGGGAATCCTGTATATGAAGTTCTTACCTCACCAATGAAGATCCTCAAGCAGTAACAGGTTAGCAACTATTTGGGGTCCAAATGCCAATTAATAGAAGTAGGAAATCAAACTTGTCTTCCTCTGAAGTTGAGATGTCAATTATTTCCTCCACCCAGGCCCCTTTATTAGGGAACAAAACCCCAAACTAGACTGCTCTAAGGGGATTTTATCCTCCAACAATATCCACTGAAGACTGGGGTAGACAAGTGACCCAAGTTTGCCCAAATTCTCTTTCTAAATTGTGGCACAGAAATGAGTCAGATCTTAGAGCGTGAGGAGGCTGTATGGTCATATAAGACTCAAAGGATGGTGCAGCACTTTTCAGCTGCCAACATGAAAGTTGATGTGCAAAGGGAGACAAGAGATTAGAGTGGATTTATAGAGAAGCAGAAGGGACAGACATATTCTCAACAGACATACACAAAAAGACTACAATGGAATCTCATCATTTGAGTTAAATGAATGTAATCATATACACTTTATAAAATGAGAGGGAGGCAAAGAGAGAGAGAAAACATTAGCTATTCACTTTGCAAAATGAAAGGAAAAAAAAACCACTTTAAATAGTGACCACTTACACCCAATGAACACAGTGAGCATGTTAGTGCGGAGAAATGAATCAGCGGGCCTCAGCTCCCATGTGCCTCTTGCAGTATGAGCATCTACTGCTGCACTACGTGAGGGTCGACAGTTTAAAGATAAAATATTTTTCATTCACCATGGCCACCAACGCAAGTCAACTATTTTGTGCGGCTGCCAACCAAAACCAAATAAACCAATCCTTTAGTACACTTTATGAGAAATTAAAAGTCTTTTCAAAAATAATTTTGACTTGATGAGAATTGCACCTGGCTTGTTGTCTTAAGAACCTAACCTCCACTTAGATGTAGCTCCTTCGCAAATGCCTGACAACTTTATACCTGAAATTGATCATGTTGGGATTACTGCAATGGTATTCCAAGAAGCTCCCTAGGAATTTACTAATGCCTCTTTTTCCTCTGAGCTAATCTGAGTGGGTTTCTGTTCTTTACACTCAGATGTTCCCTAAGTGATCCTCCTCATCTCTGTTGAAAACTTTTTATGAGTGACAGGACAGAATAGCGAAAGGCAGTAAAGCTTTAGAATCAGATCTCTGTTGGAATCACGGTTCTATCACTTGGTAGTAGTTCTGTGACTCTGGACAAATTATTTAACCTCCATGAATCTCATTTTCCTTATTTATAAAATGGAGGTAATAATGCCAACCTCATAGTATCTATTTTGAAGATTAAATGAAATAATGTAGATCAAGCACTTAGTATTACGCTTTGTAGATACATACTAGCATAATTACTAAGTTTAATCTTCCTGCTGAACTCAATTTGTATTGTAGCTTTCTCCTATCGCTCTATCAACTACTCTTATTTTCCATGATATTTTTGTAAAAGTTTATAAAATTTATGCTGGTGAAAAAATTTATTGGCAAAGTAGGGTTTTCATGAATCATGGGGTAGTATGGGCTGCTCCTCTACCTTTTCTAGACTCACAAAGTTAATTTAGTTTTCCTACATCGGTTTTGGGGCCAGACAACAATATTCTCAATAGTACCCTATTAACTTGAAAACTGTTAAGCATCCCTCCCACCCACTAAAGTATTCTTTCTTCCAAAATTTATTTTAAATAGTGGGTAGATGTTACTAATTAAGTGTCGTTTAAAAGAGCTGGAAAGGTTAATAACCCATGGCCATGAAAATAATCTGTAGCAAATAAAAAATCTCAATATTATATTTAATAGGTAAATGCTCCTTCCAGAATTTTCATGCTTTACAGAAGAGTTTTATATATACATCATCAAATAAAAGCCTGTGACCCAGTACTAATACTAATACCATCTCCACGAATTACAAAGAATATTTTATACAGATTTCTACTTTTTGAGACCTGGAGCCCTTACATCATTTGGTAAATTTACACTGGTCATAAGAAGAAGAATGGGCTTCAACTAAATCTTAAAATAATCCTCAAACTTCACTTCAGGCTAAATTTTCAATCTTATCTTGCCTTTTGTTAAAACTATTAAAAAGAAAAACTGGTAGTGTAAAACTTTCCTGTCTACCTTCTGGTAAAGCCATTTTAGGGGAATGGTAAACAGATAATAATATTTTACATTTGTATAACAATTAACAGCTTTCAAACGAATCTTAATGAGAGGCAGTGGGGGTTCAGTGGTAGAATTCTTGCCTTCCATGTGGGAGACTTGGTTTGGATTCCCAGCCAATGCACCTCATGCACAGTCACCACCCACCTGTCAGTGGAAGCTTGAGTGTTGCTATGATGCTGAACAGATTTCAGTGGCACTTCCAGACTAAGATGGACTACAAAGAAAGGCCTGACTACCTACTTCCGAAAACCAGCCAATGAAAACCCTATATATCACAATGGTCCAATCCACAACCAATCAGGACACTGGACCGGGTGCATTTTGTACCATTGTACATGAGGTCACCAATGGGTTGAGGGCCACCTCTATGGCAGCTAACAACAACAACAAAGTACTCTTAAAGATACTTAATTCTCACAACCATATTAGTCAGTCAAATGTGGCAACTTTTACTTCCATTTCATAGAAATGAAATTCAAGGTCATGAAAGTAACCACATAAGAAAATTAGGACCTAAATTTTCTGACTTTCAGTTTAAAATCCTTTCCAATTCATCACACTGCCTTTCACCTGGATCATTTACAATACTGTATAACTGGGATCTGAATAACAGCTATAGTCAAATGAAGAAAGCAAAAGACATTAAAAAGAGTAGAATGGATATAACAGGAAAAATTTCACTTATATTTTGTATTTAAGAAGGGGGTTAGTATACAGACACTTAATTTTTGAGAATTTAATCAAACAGAATGCTTGAGAGGTTATGAGGAAATGGAGAATCAGGCACTTTACTTGCAAATTATCTGTGGGTGCGTGGGCAGTACTTTTTTCTTGCCTTAAACTTCTGTTTGAGTCACTGTGGCAAATTATTTTAACTTCTTTTAGGGAGGAAAAATCCTGCGTGCAGCTATGCCCTTGGGAAATGGTTTCACAATGCTTACCATACTTTATAAATAAATAGGGATTAAGAAAAAGATTCCCTTTAGAAAGAAATGGCAATTTCTAAGACTCAGACTTTCCAGAAACAAATGGAGTTCAGCTGCATGGTTAAACATACTTCTTCACTCACATAAAGAATCTGTAAAAGACCTCTTATTTTGGCAAGAAGAAGAGCCTTAAAAAGAGTAATTATACCCTTTCAAATAAAAAGACAAGTGAATAACAGGAAGGGGTGGACGTGGGAACGAAGACTCGGCAATGGTGGGCTTGGGCATGGCTTGAATGCATAACATTTTCCCAAGTCTACTTTACTGGAGAGTAAACAAAGCTTTTTGATGAAAATGAATAAAATCACAGACTTCTAGGATTCTCCTCAGAGTTAGTAAAACATATCTTTTCTCTTCAAACTTTTTCTCCTCTAAAAAAAGGTAATAATTTGCTACTGTAACTCAAACAGAAGAACTAAGGCAGGAAAAAACAAACTTTACCTAATATAACCTCTCCAAACTTAAACACACACATGCATTACTCTTGAATTCACATGGCAAAGCCATTTCTAACTCTTTACTATCCAAAGGTCTATATTACCCAAATATTTGGTGCCAGCATTAAAATGAGGTATAAGTTCTATCTACACGAACTAATATAAGCAGTTCATTTTTCCTGTGTGCGAAAACCTCTTGCATTACTTAAGCCTTAATATTTACCTGAACCTCTGAATTGGAGTCAACAGGCTGTAGTGAAAACCAAGTTTCTATACCACTATGGTTACACAAGTCTTCTTTTTTGATGGCTACTTTTCCTGTAGGAAATAAGTAAAACAATATGAGAAAGTGTATTTTGTTTAATCCCAAGACCCATTTGCACTATTATGTATAATACTTTGTAAAAATATTTTAAAATGATTTCCACCTGATGATATAAAAGAAAAATCCACTTATATAAAGTACTCTTCTATATTCTAAAGAATAAAAAAGTGCTTCAATTCCCTTTGCCTCTTGGCAGACCCTCCTCTGGTAATTTTCAATCAGGGGATTAGACAAAACCTCAGTTGTATTTACACAAACCTGCATTTTTTACTACTTACTCAGATTCACGTTTTCACTTAAGAGTTCAGTCAATGTAAAAAGTAATCACAATGGTAGTGCAAACTAATCCTACCAATTCTTTAACACTATAATCATATGTTCTGGTAAATTTTGAGCAGACATATCTGCATTTAATAAGAGTTTATAAATTTCAATTAAAAGGAAAAAAATATGATACATCATTAAATATACTCAATATTGGCTTGAAAACTATGAGATTAAAACAATTATTAAAAATTTTCTTTTATCAAAACAGTGCAAACACTGAATGATTATGGTGCTTCAATGCATAAAAAAAAAAAAATCAAAGCAGTTCTCTAAAGACTTTCTACCTCTCAGAAAAAAATACAGTGCAATGAACAGAGTATTGTGAGAGGAAGACGCAAAAATGTTCTTATTATAATGAAGTATTTGCCATGTTGCTGTACAAAGCATTTCCTTCCTCAATTCAACTTTTAAGAAGTAGGCATAGTTTTGTATATAACTGACAATTTATTCAGAGATTGTACACAAAGCTTTAACAAAGAACATATTCTAAAGTCAAAAACAGTTCACTTGCTTTCATTTTATCAAATAAGAATTTTCATTTTAAGTACCCTAATCATACTTCATATCCTTTCACTTATGACATATCTTGGTCCTTTAGTTCAACATCAGAAAACTAAAGAAACTCTTATGTCAACATATGTCAACTTTTGTATATCAAGTGGAAAGAAAGGCATGACATGAAAACAAACACAGAAAAAGTGTATTTAAAAATTTATTCTGGAGTTAGTGGTGATGGTTGCAAACTTTGTGAACATACTAAAAGCCACTGCATTGTACACTTTAAAACGGTAAATTTCAGGGCTTCAAACCAATTCTTCCCAATTCAGTTACAGTCGAGGAAGTGGCACCAGAATAGGGCCGAATTGTTAAAATTCAAGTGAACCGGAACCAAAGCCCTGCTAGAAACCTAATCTCCCTCTTAGAAAGCAAGGACAGCATAACCCCTGCATGACAACCAAATCTCTTGCCCACCAGATTTTGGGCAGAGTTGGAAATAGCTTCATGCCCAGCTCAAAGATGGCCACCAATCATGCCGCTTTGAATGTCTATCGCTCTCCACAGTCCTGCCAATAATCCAATCTCATGCATCAGGCTCCTGAAATGGCTCACTATGCCTCTTCCCGAGCCTCTCATTCTATGGCTCTGACCCATAATTTTTCCCATTCCAGTTACAGTTCGGGAGCACCCAAGCTGTAAACATTCGGGTCCTCTTCTGGTTTTGCTTCATCAGCCATGACTAAACTGGTTCAAAGCCCTGGCAAATTTTAAGGTATGTGAATTACATCTCAATAAAGCTGTTATTTTAAAAAAATTAACCACATCAAATATTTTGATAAGCTTATTTTCCCATTCATGACTTGGAAAACTAACTACCTGTATAATGTTAAGGAAAATATTAAAATACACAGCTATACTTTCGTTACAGAATAACAACCGTATTAATATACAACTCAAAGGAGAACTACTTAAAATTCATTAACTATATCTATTAACACATGAAGTCTCATGATGTAAAATTTTAAGATTAATAAACTGGCCCTCAAAAAAAGAACAAACATTTCCAATTTTCTTTTAAATGTATTGGATAAAATCTAATGTGAAGACCAAAATCTTCAGGTGAATACATATATAAGCATTTATAATCCATTCAAATCTTTATAAGAAATGGCACTAGGAAACAAATATACTTAAGTTCTTTTTTGGTTAAATTTAAGATAAAACTGATGGGAAAACAGAATTTCTTCCAGTTCTGAAGATACAGATTAAAAGTCAACACAGATTTCAGGCACTGACTACAACTCCCAAATATTCTTTATACTGCTGAAGGAGTTCAGGTTAAGAGACAAATCATACAAACCTCTTGATATGTTTTACCTATAGATTGTATCAAATTCCTGGCTTAGGATACAAAATTATGGCAAAGTACTCAATACTGTATGCCATAAATGATTATGATTACAGGCAGTTCCCGGGTTACGAAAGTCTGATTTATAAACAATTTGTACTTAAGAATGGGCTGTCATAAAGCCTACTGTATTAAAAATTTGAGTTAAATACAATGGTTCATAACAACGAACACGCACACGACTTTGTGACACTCATGAGAACACTGGAAGTGTTTCTTAAGTGTTTTACATGCAGAGAAAGGTAAAATATATACTATACATTAAGACAAACACTTTGACTAACTGAAGCTAAAGTAAGAACTGTATGTACCTCTTCCAACTTACCTACAAATTCGACTTAAAGATAGACTTAGGAACAAATCTTGTTTGTATCCCCGGGGCTGCCTGTATCACAATTCTATCAAGTCAAGTGGTTCCCTTTACCAGTGATTCCATATGAGATATAAATAAAATGTTAAGGCAGTATATAATAGCTTGGTACTTATTTTTTTAAAATAATACATGTACATACAGAAACAGATATGCACCCTATTTTATGCAAATAATGCATGCCTTACACGTTTGTTTGCCAACCACGTCCATCCCCTGCAAGATATTTTCATAAGTGCTGCTATGCTAATTTTTTTTTTACAGCAACATGTAAAAAAAAAAATGGCATAGACACACTTACAAAAATACCTCACAGGGGGAGGGCATGGTTGGCAAACAGAACGCACGCATTATTTGCGTAAAAATACGGTACATTCTATAGCTGAAGTTCTTACCTTTCGGAACCACCCACTTCCCTTTAAGACTTGTTATATCTGTGTGTCTTTTGTACCTTTTCCCCAGAAAAATGCACAGATAGCATCTGGTATACAATTTTAGTAGATTTCACTCACCACCCAGAAATTCACCAGTAGATTCCTGGTGAAGACTTCTATTCTACAATTACCAGGAATTTTAATTTTGTTCATAATTTGTAAGTATGCATATGAATGTACAACTATCACTAACACAAGCTCCCAACTTAAAAAGAGGGCTTTTTAAAAAGAGTTTATTTGGAAGTTTATTGGTTTAATTCATTCATTCATTCATTCAACAAATAATTACAATGGCACTGTGTTTTCAGCGGTGATTTGATTTCCAGGCTCCCCCAACTAAAGTCTATGTAATCAGTAACAGTACTAAAATACCAGAGTAGGAAATCTACCCATCCTATTTATGACCCACAACTCAGATCACTGGAAATACATCTCTGTTACAAGTGCCCTCCCAAAAGGAGAATCCTCTCTCTCTTTGCCTCACAGGTAAAAAGAAATTCCATAAGCAAGTGCCCTCTTCCTCCTATTTCCTATCTCCTGTATCCATGGTACTCAATATCACTGAAGAGTTGAATGGTTCTTGTCCTCTGAGAGGGGAACCTTTCTCTCACTAGTTGCATATATTAGCCACTTGTCAGTTGAGAAAAACTTGCAATTTTATTGCCAGCTCTTATTCTTAACAAGTTCTTTTTTAAGATGCCAGTTTCTGATACATAAAGATATAGTTGTATGACACCAGCTGTCCTGAAGAAGCACAGAAGAGCACATGATCCAAAGAATCAGAGAAATTATTATGTAAGAATGACAGAGGAAAACAAAGAAGAACATGTGAGGTCATTAGGTATTAGGATATCTGCAACATGTCAGTTTATTAGGCAATATAACATATGAAAAAGAAATATATGTCATCAGTCCTAGAAATAAAACAGGGCTAGGGAAAAGCAGAAAGGGAGGGAGAAAGAAAAGCGGGGGAGAGGAAGAGGTGAGGAAGGAAAGGGAGACAGAGGCGAAAGGCAAGGACAAGTTTCTGAAACACAAATAAGACCAAAAAAAAAAAAAAAAAAAAATACGATTTTTGTTTGCAGTTTTGAACTATCATTAGTTAAATGATTACCAGTAACCAACTGCCATCAAGTACATTCTCACTCATGGTGACCCCATGGGGTTTTCAAGGCCGTGACCTTTTAGAAGCAGATCACCATGGTTTTTAGGGTCCATCACAATTTGACCTGAATTTATATTCCCAGCTTCACCTTCTACCACCCTCTCCTAAGTAAGTTACATACGCAGCAAATACACCAGCAGATTCCACAAGCATACGATTCATGTTTACCTCTCTGCTTCTGCCAATTCTTTTACCTTGAAACTGTTCTTCCTTTCCTTATCTAGGTAGTCTTTGTTAATCCCCCATCAAACAAAATTAATTGTTCTCCCTTCTATGCTCTCAAAGTACTTTATTCATACCTCCAGCACAGATCCTATTATAATGTATTAGCATTACTGTACATGTCTGCCTTTCTGATAGGCTGGGAACAACCTGAGTCATTCATCTTAATAGTCCCACCCTCTGTACAACACACAGAAGTGTTACATAAATATCTGTTTAACTGCATTGAGGATGAGCCTAAGGAGTGAGCAATAATTAAGAGTTTGCCAGAGAAAGAAGAGTATGCATACAAGTAAAGAAGATAACGAAAGAAGAAAAACATCTAGGAAAACACCATGCCATGAAACTTTTTCTTGATTTTCAACAAGGAAAAAGTTGTCTGAATAGGCAGTCAAAAGAGTCAAATACAATACAGAGGCAGGTGAAGATAAAAACTAAGAACACCTTTTGTGACAAGCAGAAAAAAAGTATTTGTTACGTATACAGATGATAAAAGTTAACATATTTAACAAATAAGAATGTTTAAGAATAAATAAAAGAACTACAACAAGAAAACATAGACAAAAGAACGAACAACTAATTCACAAAAGAAAAATGTAAATCACCAATAAACATTATGAAGATTGTCCTCAAATTCACTGATAATCAAAGAAACATAAGCTAAAATAATAAAAATTTAATTTTTACCTATCAAATTGGCAATTTTTTTCCAATGGTAATATCAAAGAATGCCAGCATGTGGTGAAATGGTTATGCTCACACCACACTTGGAGGAATGTAAATTAGTAAAATATTTCTGGGGGGCAATGTGGAAATATACAGAGGAAACCTTAAAAAGAATCATACTCTTTTACCCAGTATTTCCACTTCTAAGAATTTATCCTAAGGTAAAAGAGACACACACAACTTATGCACAAGGATTTTCACAGCAACGCCATGTAGATGATGGGAAAAAATTAGTAACATACATGTTCACCAACAAATACTTTTAAAAAATATGGGAAAAGGATGAAATTAAGTACAAAGGGCAAAAACTGAATAAACAGTACAATGTAATAGTATAAATGCATGGAAAAAAGAATGGGAATATACCAAATTATTAACTGTATTTATCACTGTGTAGAATCACTACCAGTTACTAAGAACATGTACTAGTCTTTTTAAATAAGAACTATATTGCCTTTTAAAAAGGTTATTTGATTTGTTTTAAAATGATTTTGGCAAACTTCAAAAAAGACTTGACAGAAAATGAGGAAGCCAGATCATAGAGATTTAAAAAAGAAGTTTAGCAGCAAAAGCAGAGACACGTTGTTGTTGCTGGGTTCTGTGGAGTCAATTCTGACTCAGAGCAACCCCATGTGACAGAGCAGAACTGCCCCATAGGGTTTTCTAGGCTGTAATCTTTATGGGAGCAGATCACCAGGTCTTTCTCCCACAAAGCTTCTAGGTGGGTTCGAACCACCAACCTTTCAGTTAGCAGCCGAGCGCTTTAACCACTGGGGCACCCAGGCTCCTTAGAGACACACTGTTGCTGTTGTTAGGTCCAGCCGAGTCAATCTGACTTACAGCCTTAGATGGTGGTGAAGAGGACAAAGCTAGATAAAGCTTAATTTTGGGGGCTGTGGGAGACTTAAACATATTTCAAATCAGAAAGCAGAGTTGCAGAGCATGAAATTCAGTACACTAAAAAAGGAGATTATAATACATGGATTATATTAAAGACTTCTACCTATTATTAAAATATAAAGACAGGATGCAAAGACCATGAGTGTGATACATCTGCAAGCCAGTTTAGCTTTGCTCTAGTCCATCCCCACAGACCATATCCCAGTCTCGATCATTTAAGAAATACATTTATTAGTCATCAGTACAACTAGGGAGAAAAAGTACAACTAGATTAAAGCAAATAATTACTTCTATTGGAAAAACTTCAAAAATAGATATTCTTTGCGGGGGGATCAATAATGTTACCTTTTCATATAAACATTCTTTGAATCATTCAATAAATACTTATAAAACACTTACTAAACGTAAGGCATCCTGTGAGTCACAGTCCCCCTCATAAGCATCATATTCAACTAGAGAATTTAGACATTAGACAGTAAACTGATGGACAAGCACCATCAGTACCATGAACAGGGAACCGCCAGGTATTATGGAAACACATGACATGGTGACTGGGGAATCAGCAAAGGCCTCCCTGAGGAAGTGTCACCAAAGCTGAGTATACAGATTAAAAATCAAATTGACAAATGAACATGAAGTCTAGAGAAAAGGATCAGGAACGGTGAGCATGTATTATTCTGTATCTTTCTGTACTTTATACTTAGGGAAATAATGAATATAAACACCAAAGTTGTGATTAAAGATAATTATGAATAGTACATACCTATACGAAGGTCTCTTTGTAAAACATTCTTATCATAAACATAGAAAGACAAATACTGGAAAGTTCTTGGAATCTCAAAGTAAAACTCTTCACTGAAAAATGGGCTAGGAAGAAAAAGGGGAATGCTCATTAAATTTAAATTCAACAGTACCTTCAAATAATATCATTTTCAGCAAAATCAATTCAATTACAGACTAAAATGTCATAGAGAAAAGCTTCAAAAGCTCCAAAACAATTCTCAATCTAAGTTTCAACTAAATCCTGTACAGATCAAGGTGAACTCTGAGAGAACCCCACTGTCAGGATGAGCTCTGAACACAGTTTTTCCCCAGTCTTATCGACAGAAGACCCAGTAACTGCCTGCAGACACGGTCCCCAAAAAAGTCAGTTGCCATATCGCAAGTCCTACTCGTGGCAACCCCACAAGTGTCAGAGAACTGTGCTCCGTAGGGTTTTCAATGGCGGATTTTTCAGAAGTAGATCAATATGTCTTTCTTCCAAGGCGCCCATGGGAGGACTCGAACCTCCAACCTTTCGGTTAGCAGCTGACAGCGTGACATGGTTTAAATTATGTCCCCCCAAAAATATGTGCTATCAATTTGGCTGGGCCATGATTCCCAGAATTGTGTGGTTGGCCTCCATTTTGTGATTGTAATTTTATGTTAAAAAGGATTAGGGTGGGATTGTAACACCACC